ATATCTTTAACGCGAAGAAAAATATCGAAAATTGACGCTGTTTGTGGATTCGCAGTAGGCCGCGTTTAAAATTTAAATTCCAGTTGAGTATCTTAAAAAATCTGAACCATCATTCTGTATGACTGTGCAAAACTTCAAATCTGTATTAATTTAGATAGACAAAATATAGGGGTGTCTTCATCTTAAATGCGACACACTGTATAAAATGGTTTGCCAGTGTAGTTCAAACCAAGCTCGCATGGATTCTCATAGCAGTTAAAGAAGTTACCAGAAACAATATCACGAAAAGGATCATGTTCTTCTATACAGACAGCACACAAGCACTACGCTACCTAGATAGACCCTGATTTTATTAAGGTTAGTACAATAATGTCACTAAGCTTTTGACAAAGTATCCATCAACAGTGTGGTCAACTTAAGATGGATGAAAGGCTACGTCACATTGACAAGGTAACCGTCTTACTAATTCACTAGCGAAGAAGGCAGCCAACCATATACTTTTTGGACCTGGCCCTTCTATTGTATCGACAATAACGGTAAAGACAAACCTAATTAAAGAAAATTCCCATTTGTAAAATTCAAGGAGATTTAAAATAAATCATGAAGCTGCAGAGTTGCCAGGGATATTTTAAATTAACCTGACATATAAAAAAAATACTTTATTAGATCTTGACATAATCAGAGGCATTCTCCATAACATGGGGCTATGTGAATCCATACTCTGCAGAGGCCGAGAAAAAGAAGAAAAAACCATCAAGCAATTTTTTACAATTGCCCTACGCATTTATTAGTCGCACCCAGAGAGTATTTTCTAACACCGGCCAACTATAAGAGAAGCACCTCTTGAGGACGTTGTCAACTACATTAAATCTGTAGATTGGTTGATGAGCTAGGGTGAGTCTATTAACTTAAGAGGATGCAAAATGGGGTAAATCCACCCTCCTCATGTTACATATGAATTACTGAAAATTGGGTTTAGTACTCGAAATGTATGACAAGTAAGTTTACCATTGCGATAAACATAACACGTTATATTCTAGGGCCGTCTTAGACATTACCCCCAAGAGGTTAAAATTATTATTAAAACGTCGAAAACAAATTATTATAAAAGTTTTTATAAGATCGAAAGACACAAATATTTTCATGAAAGTATTGGTCTATTTTTAAAAATATAATGTGCATAAGACATCGTTGGTTACAAACAAAACAGCCTTATTTCATGTTTATTATCAAATTATAGCCTTCAGTTGCACTGCAAAAGAAATATATTATGGTCATTGTATCACATAACATCGTAAAATCAACATGTCCAGGTATTGCGCGTAGTAAACGCAGCGTTTCCGTGAATTTTCGCAGAGAAAAAGTATGGTAGACTAAATTAAGCCTCTCAGGAAATTTTAAACATGTGGTAATCAAACAAAGCAAGGGTGGACGTACTGTGGACTATTCTGTACACAAATAGGAAAGTAAAAATGTTATAAAAATCCTTATGGAAAATTCTTTATAAATAAAAATTGTTATTAATATATTTTTGGTACATTTCCCAAAAAAAGATCTACAATAAAAAAATATTACATAAATAAAAATTTCTTAGGTTTATTAGTTCATGATTTTATTTTAGCACAGCGCAGCAGAGCTGAAATAGAAAGATGGTGTTTCTGTTATTTGAAAATTAAAAAAAAAAATTAAACTGTTTGTAATTGTCCCTAAGTTTTATTAAATTTTGACTGCATTTGAAGATGGAAAAAATGTTTTCGAAACATATGTAGTGCTGTGCTAAAATAAAAACAAGACCGAATAAACCTAGGAAATTTTTGATCATATCAAATTCTGCTACGGTCAGGAAATTATCCTTTAAAAAAAAATATATATATATATTTCGCTTCTTCTAATTTCTTTTAAACTGCCTTGTTACTTTTTTGACTTTATTAGAATCAATAATCTAATCCCTAAATTACCCAACTGAATCGGTTATTTCAAAAACCACTAAGTCAAAAAAATACATTTTACAGGAAAAGCAAAAAACTGATAGGACCGATAGGTTATTTTTACGAACATAGAATATCTTCTTAGTATACAGGGTGGGCCACTTAAAAGTTCCACCCCCCCTTATTCTCGTTACTCATTGAGATATCGGAAATTTTTTTATTTTGTTTGAAAAAGTGGAACAAATACTTTCTTATGAAGGATTTAATTATTCTGTGACGTCACGGCTTACTTCCGGTTTTTCCGGAGGTAACAGAAAATCGCAATTTATTTTTAATTTTTAAATTGAAACCCACTTTTTTTATTGTACATTTGAATTTCTGGGACAATTTTGTATAATAATCGTATATTGAATTTTTTCTGGCATCTGTCAAAATGGATAATATTTTTTCTAAACATGTTACTAATAATTCGTTTATGGAAAAAAATATGGGATTGTATGATCTTTATTAAATCTTTGAGAGCTTTAAAATTCCCATTGAGACCCATTTACCGTATACCAGTGGCGTATCTAAGCATTTTTATTATTAGCAAACCGTTTAATAATTCCATCCTCTTTTATCTTCGTTGTTAATTAAGATATCGGAATAAAAACTTTTTTGTTTAAAAGCTTATAATAGATACTTTCATATATTGGATCCAACTAGCCTATGACTTCATGGCTTACTTCCGATTTTTTCGCATATAACTGAAAATCGCCATTGATTTTTTAATTTAAAATCAAAACCCCTCTTTTTTATTTAAAATTTGAATTTCCGGGACATTTTTGAATAAAAAGCGTAAATTACAAATTTTCTTCGTCAGCTGTCAAAATGGCCGCCATTTTGGATAATATTTGTTCTAAACATGTTAGATACTATTAAAAAAATATGGGAATGTATGATCTTTATAAAATCATTGTAAGCTGTAAAATTCCTATTGAGACTCACTTACAGTACACCAGTGGCGTATCTAAGCATTTTTATTATTAGCAAACCGTTTAATAATTCCACCCGCTCTTATCTTCCCTATTAATTGAGATATCGGAATGACAACTTTTTTGTTTGAAAGCTAAGAATAAATACTGTCAAATACTTCATTCAACTGGTCTGTGAGGTCATGACTTTCTTCCGGTTTTTTGAAAATACCAGTTAATCACAATTTATTTTTATTTTTAAATGGAAACCCACTTTTTTATTGAAAATTTTAATTTCTTGAGCGTATCAATAATAATTTATTATTGTATGGTAGGTCTTGTATTATTATATTAATTCTTTAAAACTTTCTGATAAAATTAAGCTACTTTAAAATTTAAAATAAAAATAAACAATTTTTAAATTTAAAGATCTGTTGCGTGTCGTAATAATTTATTTTTCTACTACTGTGCGTAAAGTGCGCACGCTACGCACACCACGGAGTGCATAAAGTTTTACTTTTTTCACTAGTGCGTAAAGTAAAATTTTTTACGCTTTAGTGCGTAAACAAGACACAATTTTCAGTATTTTGACATGACAAATGACACATTTCATTTCAAATTTTCTTTGCGCGCTAGTGCGTAAAGTTAAACAGTTTACGCACTAATGAGTAAAGTAACCAACCTTAGTACGGTAGTAGAAATATTGTATGCAATTCGTATGTAATGGTCTTTTTTGAAGGCCACTTTATACACTTATTATATGTATAAATATTTTTTGTTATTTGATTTATCAGGAGTTAACTGATGTAACGGACCAATTATATTAAGTAAATGATAGTAATTGTTTTAAGATTTTAAACAAAAAAGTTTTCGTTCCAATATCTAAATTAACAACGAAGATAAAAGCGGATGGAATTATTAAAACGGTTTGCTAATAATGAAAATGCTTAGATACGCTACTAGTGTACTGTAAGTGGGTCTCAATAGGAATTTTGAAATTTACAATGATTTTATAAAGATCATACAATCCTATATTTTTTTCCATAAACGAATTAATAGTAACATATTTAGAAAAAATATTATCCAATATGGCGGTCATTTTGATAGCTTACAGAAATATTTCAATACACGCTTCTTATCCAAAAATGTCCCAAAAATTCAAATTTTTAATAAATTTCGATTTTAAAATAAAAAATAAATTGCGATTTTCAGTTATATCCGGATAAATCGGAAGTAAGCCAAAATGTCACAAACCGATTGGATCCAGTTTATGATAGAATTTTTTATAAGATTTTAAACAAAAAAGTTTTCATTTCGATATCTCAATTAACAACGAAGATAAAAGCGAATGGAATTATTAAACGGTTTGCTATTAATGAAAATGCTTAGATACGCCACTGGTATACGGTAAATGGGTTTCAATGAGAATTTAAAGATTTAAAGATTACATACATCTCTATATTTTATTCCATAAACGAATTAATAGTAACTTGTTTAGAAAAAATATTATCCAATATGACGGCCATTTTGACAGCTGCCAAAAAATTTTAAATGCACGATTATTATACAAAAATGTCCCAGAAATTCAAATTTACAATAAAAAATGGGGGTTTTAATTTAAAAATAAAAAATAAATTGCGATTTTCTGTAATTTCCAGAAAAACCGAAAGTAAGCTATGACGTCACAGAATAATTGTATCCGTCGTAAAAAAGAATTTGTTCCAGTCTTTCAAACAAAAAAAAATATTCCGATATCTCAATGAATAACGAAGATAAAGGGGGGGTGGAACTTTTAAGTGGCCCACCCTGTATAAATAATAAAGCGTCATACTTGTGTGGTTTCAGCACAGACTGTGCGTCTTTGGTCACAGAGTGGTGAAATGTCAAACAGCCAAATTATTGACTTAAGTCGTTTGTGAAATGAATACCACTATTTAATTAATGGATTACGAAATATTTGATCAAGAAATGTAAATCTGTTCCACCCTGTATACTCAAAAAATGTAAGCGTGTTAAGATGGCTTGCGTGGCTGTTGACATATCTATTAACGAAATAACTTGGTTTCTCTGGTGTTCTTAAAATAAGATTTTATTAGTAATAAATATATTTTATACTTACAACAATAAATTTCATCTTGAATATTTTACCTCACAAATGAAACAAGCTTAAGGAATTACAAATATTAGTTTTATATTTTATGTATTATTTTTAGTTTATCATGGGTCACGTCTCTAACGTATACGTGCACTCTTTCTGCACAATGCGCGTTTTTTAATATCTTATAAATCTACTGATTATACCTAAGAAAGAAATACTAAATATAAATATATTTTTTGAACCGAACATGTTATCTACAATTGGATATCTAAAAATTTAGCTAAAATTATGATTTTATCGGAAAATAATATAATTAAAATATCTTAACTCAGAGAAAATTTGATTAGGAATTATTTAAATGCAAACACATGATTATCTGAATTTTTTTGTTGATAGATAAACCCACAATGTATTATTCTAGCCGGTATTATTAATGGCGTAACCAGTAGCGGCTCGTGATAATATAAAATGGGTGTTCACTTTTTCCAATAATATTATCATTTGTAAATTTTGTTCAAAACTGTAATTATTATTATCAATATCATACTGTTTTCAAGCACTTTAACTGAGGAGCTTTGGAGCAAAACCGAATAAATCCACTTTTTATGAAAATTAAGTTAGCAGCGGATTTCAACTTACTTTGTTAAATTACATCTTTATAGACTACCTGCCAGAGCAAAACCGAATAAATCTAGGTAAAATTTATGGTTGAAATTGATGTTTTTGTACAAAACCGAATAAATCCACTAGGAAAGTCGTGTAAACAACACATCGGCATTCGCTGTAGTTTAAAAGCAGTTTGTAAGAGATATTTTTTTTATTTTCTTTCCTCTTGTATTAGTGTGCGTAGTTTTGAATTTTGATTTGAGTAAATCTGAATAAATCAATTTTTTTTGTCACATTTTTAACAAAAATCATTTTTTAAAATTATAATTGCAAAGGATGTATTATTAATGACATCTCCAATAGTATTGTTTTAACAAAAAAAAAAAAAAAAAAACGAAAAAACCAGTACTTTTTGTGCAAATGGAAAATCGTGTTTTCCCAAAAATCTTTTATAGTGGATTTATTCGGTTTTGCTCCAAAGCTCCTCAACTATAAATGAATGAATAAATGAATATTTTAGTTATTATAATGATTGTTTTGTTTTTAATACGTTGGAAACCATCTATAAACATTATTAGTTAGTCAACTGACTTTTCTTCATATTTTGAGATTATTCTTAAATATATATATTAGGTTGTGTAGGTTGATTTTTTTGAAAAAATATTATTATATGAAACTTTACCTACCATTTTTCAGTTTCTATTGTAACTTTAATCATTTTCACAATTTGTCACACATGTCAAATAAAATATTATATTTTTTAAATACCATTTATTGGCAAAGACAAATAAACTAAAATGTGTATTTAATAAGATCAGCTTCATCACAATACATAATGTTACACAGATACAAACTAGAATGAAGATATATTCTGCGTGGCATTCTAAATAATACTCTTCACAGTTTAACAGACCCCCATTTTCAATCAGATTTTTTTCAGAATCAATAGGTTTCATCGCCTTGTAGAGCTTGATTTATCCAAAAATTTTAAATAGATAATAGTTTTTTTTATAGTTAGATTTATTTTCAATATTTCAATCTCCACTTTTTTTCAATTTTTTTACAATTAATAGGCCTTATCCCCTTATAGAGCTTGATTTCTACTAAAAATTTCATGATGATATCGCTTTTCATTTATGTTTTTTTTTTTTAATTTCAACCCCCCTTAAACCCTCAATTTTTATTCAGATTTTTTTTTTTAAATTAAAGGGCTTCTACTCCTGATAGAGCTTGATGTTTGCTAAAAATTTCAAGTTGATATCATTTTTCGTTTTTTTTTTGTTTTTAATATTTTAAGCCCCCTCCAAATGAACACACACTCGTTTTTTCAACGTAAATTTTACTTAAATTTAACGTTATATGGTTTAAAATAACGTTATTTGTTAAAAATTCAACGTTGATATGTTAGTTAAAGTTCTAGGTAGAGTAACATACTATTTTATAACGTATTTTTCTAGTAATTTTCAACAGAATGTTTTTTATTTATTTTTAATATTTAGTATTTTATTTTTTTTGTTTTTTTTTGGTTTATTTTTTTGGAATGTTATATACATATTTGCATTTTTTTAAGTATTGAACGGTTACTCCAGCTTTTGTACAAAGGCAAGGGTTTTCAAACATTTTTAAAGATCATTTGTTTCCGCATACTCCTTCATTATCTTATCAATGCGCTCATCTAATTGAATCTACATCTTTTTTTTAATTTTCCCTCTAAATTTAATATTTTCTTTTTCGATAATAAATCCGAATACATGGACTCGCCTTTTAGGCACTTAATTAACTGAATAATATGTGATTAAGAGTTTTTTATGGCCACATTTAATCTGTGATTCCAGCCTTCGACGGAGTTATTTGTTCGATGCTTTTAACCAAAGATGTTCCACATATCAATGTTTAGGACTGAATTTTCCATCCATTATTCAATGAAATAATCTTGAAATTGCTGCAACTTTGAAGTAGTAGGGGCACCTTCCAACCATTTTCTACTTCCATGGGAGGAATATATGCTAATGCTGCACACATACGTATATGTAACCTGACTTCCGCATTTTGTTTATATTCTTCGGTAAGTCCCAACTCTTGTACTTTCCTCCATAAGCATTGATTGAAATTGAAGATGCAAGCACTAATTCTAATGTTTGGAAATGTGCTTCTCAAAGCTGCTATTGCAGCCATTTTAAAGTTAATTTTTACTGTTTTCGGTGACCACCTGGGAAGTTTTTCTTTTATCATTTCACCCAATCTAATATATGTTTTCTTCTGGTTGTTTTGCAGTAGAGCAAACATTACAGGAACTATGTTTGTTTCGGTGCAGTTGCTTCCTATGTCTACATGAAACGAATATAATTGCGAGAATTGTTGACATCAACTTTTGAAAGTTCCGTCTATAAATATTGTTTCGGCTGTAATGAGTAGATTTTGTCCACAATCGGATGAAAATACCATTATTCTGTACCCTAACTTATCATCATCAGCAAATAAAAACTGATAATATCCACTGGATATATCTTTATAAACACGCCGGCATATCTATGTCGACAGTCCTCAGCCTGTAAAAAGTGTAAAGGGAAGTTATATAATGTCAGTAAACCAAATATTTTGTCCGCCAAATCTACTTATAGTTAAAGATAATGTTTGCTTTTTCACAATTAAATATCATTATTACTAATAAATATATTACTTATTTGATTCCAAGAAATGGAACATAACAGTATCAGATACTGTAATGTGTTACCTAGCCACCTTGTTTTTATTTTAGAAACATTTACTTTTTACTTTATTTCAAACAGAAATATTTATATCTTGCCTATTTGACAGTAAATAGCTATAATGCTTATCTATGGAAATAATGGCTCAATTTCAGTTAAGGTAATGATGTAAAATTGCTATTTTTTTTTTGTTTTAATCAGCATCTATTTAGGGTGAGATAACAGAACGTCTGCAACTTTGCAGATCTGCAAATATGGCGGCAACTTTGAAAATCTGCAAATATGACTGACGTACACATGCAAGTATCAAGTTTTCGTATTCCAAATTTGGGTTTAGTGTTGTTGGAGGTAATAAACCACAATAAATATTGCGAATTTGCAGATATTTTTTGGAATACTTGCATTTGTAAGTCCGCCATATTTGCAGATCTGCAAAGTTGCAAATCTGCAAAGTTGCAGAGGTTCTGTAATATCACCCTTAATCTTTTTAAAAAGTATTATAAACGCAGGATGAAATAAAAATCCAGGCAAAATTTATAAATTCATTCTAGGTAATGAGACGTGATAGACCCATTATTAATGGGTGATTTCGAATCATCCAAGTGCCTTACACTTACAGTTAACGTATGTACTTATAACTCTATATCAGTAAACCAAAAAATCTACTTTCATTATTCGACTTCTGTTTGGGATTAATAGGGGTAGGGTCGCAACTGTCTCACTTAAATTTTATCATTATTCGAAAAATCAAGACAGGGGCTCAAATGTATCGAGGGCTCAAATGTACGAGGGCGACACCATGCAAACTACGTATAATTAATTTTGAGAATCAAAATAACTGGAAAAAGCATTTCTATTAATTTCAAAATTATAACTTGGAAGTTTTTGAAGTGAAAACTTCTTTAGCGGCGTTGAGCACTTTTGTGGGATGGGTAAAAACTGTGAAACTCGCGTCAGGACACGTAGGCTGATCGAAAATTCGTAAGACGGTTGAAGAGTAGTGTTGTAACATCGAAATCGATTAATCGAACAATCGATTGTTTTCTTTCGATTGTCGATATTTTTTAAATTGGAATAAATTGGAATAAATTGGAATAAATTGGAATAAATTGGAATAAATTGGAATAAATTGGAATAAATTGGAATAAATTGGAATAAATTGGAATAAATTGGAATAAATTGGAATAAATTGGAATAAATTGGAATAAATTGGAATAAATTGGAATAAATTGGAATAAATTGGAATAAATTGGAATAAATTGGAATAAATTGGAATAAATTGGAATAAATTGGAATAAATTGGAATAAATTGGAATAAATTGGAATAAATTGGAATAAATTGGAATAAATTGGAATAAATTGGAATAAATTGGAATAAATTGGAATAAATTGGAATAAATTGGAATAAATTGGAATAAATTGGAATAAATTGGAATAAATTGGAATAAATTGGAATAAATTGGAATAAATTGGAATAAATTGGAATAAATTGGAATAAATTGGAATAAATTGGAATAAATTGGAATAAATTGGAATAAATTGGAATAAATTGGAATAAATTGGAATAAATTGGAATAAATTGGAATAAATTGGAATAAATTGGAATAAATTGGAATAAATTGGAATAAATTGGAATAAATTGGAATAAATTGGAATAAATTGGAATAAATTGGAATAAATTGGAATAAATTGGAATAAATTGGAATAAATTGGAATAAATTGGAATAAATTGGAATAAATTGGAATAAATTGGAATAAATTGGAATAAATTGGAATAAATTGGAATAAATTGGAATAAATTGGAATAAATTGGAATAAATTGGCATAAATTGGAATAAATTGGAATAAATTGGAATAAATTGGAATAAATTGGAATAAATTGGAATAAATTGGAATAAATTGGAATAAATTGGAATAAATTGGAATAAATTGGA